AGTCTCTTAAATGTGAAAGAAAGGTTTTTAAAATAGTCGGGGATAAAATTATTTAATTCCTTCCTTCCTCGTTTGCAAACCAATTTCGTGTGCCTCATAACCACTTATCACACCACTCGTTCGAACTCCTACCCAATATATTTATTTATAAGTTATCCAGCAACAGGAAAGAGCTGATGTTTTGGGTAATGCAGTTAGATCGAAATTTCTTAGTCGTTCTTGTACTTGATTTCTTGCTCGTAAGGTCCCTAGTGACAAGTTCTAAAATCGCCAACTTTTTAAGTAACTCGATGAAAATGTAAAGCACAATTTTTTTGGGAAATGGAGAAGGAAAGAAAAACTGAATAAATTTCGTTTCACGCGGCTGCCTTAGCGCTGGAAAAACAACTATTTTGTTTTGACTAATTCTGTAATAGCTGGCTATTTAACAATTATTCCTCAAGCCCGAATGGGCTATTGACTCAGAGGCCATGAGGGCGAGAGGAATAATTGTTTTAGTAAAATCCAACTAGTTGGTCAAAAATATCGAGAATAAAAAAAAAATTTAGCTAGTTAAAGCTAGACTTTATTTTTTTTGCAGCCAAAAAGCCCGCGCTTTTCGCTACTAGGGGGCTATAACATATAACCTAGTAGTAGCTCAACCAATCAGAACGCAGCATTGATAATAGACCACTAGTTGGATTTTACTAAAATGGAAAAGCACACCATCTCATATAAGTCCCTTATAATTTTCTCAGTTGGCTGGGCACCGTTAGATTCCCCTCAAAATGAAGTCTGAGAAACGAGCGCAGAAATTCCATACTGATAACGCGTCACTTCCCAGATCTGGGTAGTGCTTCTGATTAGTCGTGCCGCGAGGGAAACTTGTTCTTTAAATCATTCTGAACATGTTTATTTCTCCTTAAAGGATGGAAAAAATATTGGAGGCGAAAAGTATTTAGAGACGAGCTTCAAATACAGGAAGATTATATTGAAAGGTATCGTTTATGAGCCATTTCAGTTTTATTACTTAGCAGTTTATAGAATATGTACAATTAAGAAAACTGCTCGGACAAAAAAATAACTTTTAAAATAAGTTTACGTTAAAAGGTCAATATTTGAACAAGGAAGTTTTTTCCCTCCAGTACTGTTACTTGTGGCTGAGGCATTTACGTGTGTGTATCAAATCTGAAAGATGAAATGACGAAGCTAGCTGAAACATGGAAATGAAAGTTCATATCATGCACAGTGCGTTTAAATAGTCCATTTTCGAGTTCGCTATGACCGCCGAATTAAAGAAGTGAAGACGCATTTTTTACAGCCTTAGCCTCCATCTGAATTAATATATTCACAAATTCCAACCAGAAAAAGACCTGTTTATTACTCTGTCTATTGTGTATATTCAAATTTCAAACACTTACTTGCCAGAATTTCAGAATATGTTACTTAACGTCGAGGCTAACCCTGTATGAATGTGTCGTTAATATTTGTATTCAGCGGTAATTTTTAATTCGAAACTGGACTGTTATCACATTGTAGAATATAAAATTTAATTCTGGCATCAACAGTCATTATTTTATAAACAATATGAACTTCACCATCATCGCCGCTGTCGTCGTAATTGTCTTCATCATCATCATCATTATCATTGTGATTTTTATTATCGTCATCATTATCGTTATCATCTTCATGATGCTATTGATGTCAGTCTCGTGATTAATTGCTGCGTTCTTTTTTCAGGCCGAATAACCTTGTCCAATCAGAAGGAAGCCCTTCCACCAATGGCAACCTAGCGGATTTGTCATCTTCGCCTGAGCCAATGCGCTCAACTCACGGCTCGGAGATCAGCCTTCCCAGAAGCCTAATCCGCGCCAACTTAACCCACGAACCTATCATCGAGGAAGAATACCCTCCACCTCCCCCTCCGTATCACTTGGACACTGGACAACCACCACCCCTTGAAGGGAGCTTTAGTGATACGTCTTCAGAAGGGAATTTTGTTCAACCCGTGTACCACAAGCCCACGCTTCATGACACCGATTCATCTTCTTCCGCGCACCGTTACGTAGACGTAAATGATCATACAACGTATGCTAATTTCTACACGACACAGAGATCGTTAAATGGAACCCCAGGGATAGGGGTGTTGGGTTTTCGTGGGCACGCGGACGGAGGCTCTGAACTCGATACTGCCAGTATCTCAAGGGCCATGGAATCTAATTTTGACTTACGCCACTCATCAGCCGCTAGTCGTCTCAGTCGCCCCAGCAAGAGTCGCAATCAAAGTCAAGAGTTTGTACATCCTGTCTACCTTCAGAGCCCAGCAAATGCCATACAAAGACCACGTGACTCTGGTCTAGGTCCCTCGCGGAATGATCTTCGCCGCTCAGGATTCAACTCTAAACGGGGCTCTAGTCAGGTAACTCCTGTCATGAAGCCGGTCCAGACCCCTCAGAGGAGAGAATCAACATCATCAAAAGAATACAGCCCCTATCACGTGACTTATGGTTCACGTGATCCACGTGCATACGACTCCGCATCTTCAGAGTATAGCTCATCACGTGACGAACTCATATCAGCGCTTGAGTTCGGTAAACGCCATAATCTTGATAAATATTATGGAATTCCAACTCTAGAGACAACCTCAGTTTCCTCGAACACAACAAACAGCAGCGAACAAGATGGCATTTGCAAGTTTACTGCTAGTCCCAGGCCACTTGGGGATGGGTGCTATGTGCCTACCCCAGTGCACGCTCCGCCACCCAACACGAGGGCAAGATCCCGGGGGAATGGACAGTATCTGTACGTTCTCAACCCACGTAGACGCGGCGTCAATCAAGGCGCGGTTCCTCAGTCAAATGCATCGGTTGTTTGACAGTTACAGAAGAGAAGTATAGTGCATAGTATTGATGTCTGATTTACGTTGAGTTTGGTCCAATAACAGTATAATGACTGTTAATAGCGCAGAGATTCGTTGTGTCAACATTCGCCGGATACCGATCTTGCCGATAAACTTTGATTTCTCACTTCCAGATTAATTACGTTGGGACGAAAATGATAGTAAAACTCATTGCCATCACAAATACATGTACAAATTCACTTATTTAAAACCTTTATACTTTACGATGGCTTAAATGGTTAAACGAACAAAATCTTTAGAAAAAAGAATGCAAAAATTAAAGCAATAAAATTAATATTAAAGAATAGATAATAATACTATTAATAATAGTCAATCGATTAAAAATCGGTGAATGTGATTTGATTGATATCGATTGTATCGATCAATCGGTAGAAATCGATGACACACTCGTTTCGTTTATCGATTTATCTTGATTTTTACCGATTTCTTCGATTTGCATCGGAAGGTACATCTGTTCATCAAAATTTGAAAACTGAATTCATGCCAACAGTTAAGTTTTTTGACAATTAAGCTGCAATTGAAAGTCGAAGGATCAAACAATTATCATTTTTTAAAAATCGTTAAAAAAATCCTATCTTTTCTTTAAAACCAGGTTTAAAATCTTCCTCTGATTACTGATATTAGCCAGGTTTGTAGGAGCCCAGTTTTTCACGATTGAGATCTGTTACCCTTTTAAACTAACGTCCCTGAAGTTTCGGGTGTATCATCCTGGATCCTGGAGGTTTTTTTTTAAGTCAATACATAAAAATCGAAATCGATAAAAGCCCCTACCAGTCAAATGATTTTTAATCTATTGATACCGGAAAACGGTGAAAATCTATCTAGGGAAATCTTTTAGCCTGATTTTCAGTCATGGCTTTGACTCGAACTAAAATTCAGGCTAAGAAATGTTTATCTAAAGTTGTATTTCTCGTGATACTAGCCTGCGATAACTGAATGTAATTAAGCCGAACCGTTTTTGTCATTATTTACAAAATAAAGGGTTTTAGAGAGAAAACTGGGTGTGTAATAGTTTCCACATTTCTCCTTTTCTTGTTTGTGTACCAATTGTTACTCCTGGATGTGTTTTCTGACTTATACCAAAAAACAACTTTGGCGGACTTCAGTTATGTATCGTTAAAATCATGAAAAAAATCGATAATATCGATTTGACTCAGCAATATAATTTATCGATTTTCACCGATTTCCGTTATCAATCGATAAAAATCATTTGATTGCTTCCGATTTTTATCGATTGACTACTCCGCGTAATGATAAAATTAATATTATTTAATAAGTCTGTGGATGTGTAGATAATGTCAATAGTTCAGTGAATGCTGATCAAATGTAAATATGTTTGAAAAAAGTAAGCGTTTTGCAAGCAAGTAGAAAAAGACAAGAACAAGCAAGCTTTTTATTGTATATTGTAAATATTATTATTGGGTTTTAGACTCGTTAAACTTGATGAAAATTAAATTGAATGAAAACTCTCATATGCGTATTTGTGACCGATTTATACGATCATTTCTCCCCGGTTACTTAGCCCCTTTTTAAGGACTGTTTAAAAACAAGCAGGAGTGTATTATCAGGGTTAAATGTAATAATGATCGCCTTTTTCTAGTTCAGTATTAGAAATATGGTCTTTCACTGTATATTTCTCGGGAAAAAGACGATCGTTACCACATCCAAACACGGCACAAGGATCTTTTTCCCATTACAATCTTATTCTAACAAAACTTTAAGAAAAAAATGTCCCGAAAGCGCTCGAAAATACAAACGAAATGTGCTCATGCCCCATCGTATAATACTCCTTAAATCGAATTAATTAAATATGGCCGCCGTATCGGTAAAAAGGTCTATTAGTGCTCATTCACCAACCCCCCCCCCCAAAAAAAAAAAAAAAAAAAAAATTGCATAACCATTGTTTCTAATTTCTCCTAGGTATTACAGCCGGCCCAAGAGAAATCGAAGGCAATGGTTATGCAAAATTTTGGGGGGCAAACAGGGTGCATTATGGTATATGTGAAAATGGTGAATTGAGGGAAGAGAATACACCGATTAGCATTTGATCAAGTAAAAAAATGTTTTAATTTCTTATAAATAATCACCTATTTCACCTATTCCTGTTCTTGTCACTGTTTATACAACCACCCGGAAAACCCAAACTCTAAATTAATTATTATTAATTGTTAACAAGTCCAATTACCGTCCGTCTGTGATCATTCTTGTGGTTAAACCTCCTTCGCTACACGGTCGTACGATTTTGTTTAATCTGTCGCATGATTACAGACGGCTATCGAAGACCCATCACTATAATTACATTTTAAGTTTTAAGATCGTAAAGGCTAACTTTACATCATTCAAAAAGCTAATCTCCTTGATTTAATTTTCGAGGTTCCACGGCGTTGTTTGCCTTCCAGCACGGTGGTTCTCGTCTAACGTGTCCGTTTCGTGCAAACGTCTCATAAGAAAACGAACTTTTCTCTCTGCCTACAGCCAACAGAAGCATCGGGTTCTCCACAAGACCCCTTCTTTATACCTTTAACGAGTCCACGTCTCTGTCATTTCTTTCCCTTCATTACTGGTGTTGAAGAACTTCGCTTCGATGTTCGAGAAGTCGTTTGTGGCTTGCGACCTTTTTCTCCCTTACTCCGAGAGGGCGTCTTTCTTTGAGAGCTTGCGGGGGCGGTAGAGGGGGGTGGGCCATCCGGGTCTGTGGTGGGAGTTGGGCTGTCCGCTCGGCGACTTGACACTGTTTTTACTCCTCCTAAGCAAAACAAATGTTATGGAGAGATCAATTGTCACTCTAACTATTAAATCTCTGGACGAAATCCGAAAGTGTTGCCATTCAAATTTTAACAAGAAACTTCTTCAGTAGTGCTTTCACATGGTACTATTTATTTAGTATGTAGATCTAACTTTTGAGTCTGTGGATGAAATCCTATGGTGTGACCATTCAAATGAAACCTCTTCGGCAGTACTTTCACATGGTACTATTTATTTAGTTTGGAGTTCTAACTTTTGAGTCTGTGGACGAAATGCTAAAGTGTTACCATTCAAATTAATTTTAACCTCTTTTGCAGAACTTTCTCTGGACGACCTTAACCCCAGCTCCACGAGCACGAAACGTTATAGACTGCAAGCAGTCTCTCTTTTTTTTCAAATTTAGTGAGGGGGCTGCACGCGCGCGGGAGCTTCGAGCGGCGAAGCCGCGAGCCGCGAGACGCGAGAAAAGAGGGCGGTAGCCCACCGTCTCGCACCCTTCAGTCATGCGCGTGGTCATTTTCGCTCGACGCGTTTCGCCCGACGGACTAAGATAAAAGAGAGACTGCTCGTAGACTAGAAATTTTACGATTAAACCTATCCATATATCAGATATTTTAACTTGATAATAACGTTAGTTGAAAGCCGAACGTCGTAGTCTCGAAAAAAGTGGGGAGCTTAAGCAAAGACGACGACAACGACGGCCCTGAAACGTCGCTAAAAGAAATGAATCGCGTACTTTTAATTGGGTCTATTTAGACCAGCTCAATTTATCAAATGTAGGCGATTTTTTTGGGGTGAATTCTTGAGGACTTAATCCAGGTTCAAACAGAGAAAGGAAAATTCGCCGTCGTATGTTCACGCCCTGTATAAAACGTCGCATTAGATGGTTTCACGTCGTAGTCGCGCAGTGGACGTCAAAAAAATGTACTAAAAAGCGTGATGCACGTGCAGCCGCTGGTTTGCTCATAAAACCAATTTTTTTTTCGACGTTGTCGTTCTCGTTGTCCTCGTGGTTGCTTACAGTTAGGCTCTCTATTTTCACTTTTTAACCATCTTACCTGTCAATCTTACGCATTCTTCCCTGTGCCTTGCATTCCAAGCTTTTAATTTACAAGATTTACTGCAGTAGAACACCTCTTTACACCGCGTGCATGCTGACAAACGAATCCCAATGGAGCGCCCACATTCATAACAATACCGGAAACGGTTTTTCATCACTTGCTTCCGCTGCTTCAAAGCTTGAGTCGCCAGCGCTGAAATGCTCATATGGTCAGCGGCTTTGGTCACAGCAATGCGTAATCCACAGTTTTCGTCTCGACCTGGTGACGAGGGCTTGATGGACGGCTGATTGGCAGCACTGAGCCCAGACCCAGGGGAACACGGAGTGTTTTCTTTACTGGTAACGGCAGCAGGCGACGTATCTGAAGTTATCCCTTCCTTTTCTTCCTAAGGACGAACCAATAGAAATTTCATTGATAATACGACTAAAGCAAACAAACAAATTTAACCATACGCGGCCTTCTGATCTACATACGCAGAAAGCAAAATTTCGAGACACCAGTCTTGACTTTTTCTTTCCGCTATCTCTCCTCCTTTCTTCTTCCGCTATTTTTGCCTCGTTTTTTTGCTAGGCATTTAGGAGACTTCATTTCGGTAGGAATCGCTTATGGTAAAGTGTTTTCAAAGGATCCTAAGGTTGGGTGGTGGACCAAGATTCTCATAAGAAAGTTACATGTTTTTTGCCTATTTTTCCGGCGTGGCATGGTTTGAAAGATCTCTTCATCCTGCACAAATTAGATGGAAAACCTCTGTCTACCTTGACCGTTAAAACTGGTAAAGTCACAAGCGGTAGAAGGGACGTGGATCCGCAGGGGCGATTACGGGCGGTCAAGGAGCAAATGAGAGAGCATAACTAATTACTGTATCCTACTTCATCATAAGTCCCCGGACTCTCGCCGTCAGCGCCAGTGATAGCCTCGACTTCACGATCAGCTTCAGCCTCGATTTCATCCCCTCCAAAAACCTCGTTTTCAAGACGAAAGCTTACGCGGCTGAACCTAAGGCTGTCATTTTCTCCAGCCAAGTTAGGATCATTATTTCTCCCTGCCGGGGTAGAGTCGAGATTTCTTGTAACAGTGGTAGAGTGCTGTTCTCTCATCTTGCTTGCTTTATCAGGTGACTTCAGGATCCCCCAGGTAGATTGAGGAGTTCCTTCCGGTTTCTGTGCTACTGAAATGAAAGACGCAAATGAGATCAATATACTATTTCTGTGCCTAAACACTGTACTAGGGGCACTAGTCCACCTTTTTCTGTAATATAACTGTTAGCAAGTAACAAATATTGTCTAAAAAATTTATATAGCTCGAGAAAGGCTCGAAATCTCTGGACGATCGTTCCATTAGTCTACGATAATTGAAGTATTTCTACTAAGTTATCTCCGATTTTCAAAGGTTGTGTTTTTCACATTTTATTACCAAGATATTGCATTTCTTGTTAAAAAAGGTCTCCTGAAAATTTCGCTTTACATACAAAACGTCCCCTAGATTAGTCTACTGGAAGTATGGCTACTCCATATCCTCGAACTTTCGACCGGACCCATAAGGTTAGCCAACAGTTTTGGATAAAACGAAAAAGCCACCCAAAACGTCTGCGCCTAAGCGACAGAAATTCCACAATGATGACGTTAATCAATGTTTACATGTAAATTTGTTCGATTTTACAGATTTTACGTCACCAGTATGGAATTTCTGTCGCTGAGGCGCACACGTCTCTCCTGGCGAAACGTCACAAGCGGTGAAGAGAGAGGAGAAACGGCTGTTTTCGCTGGCTATAAGAGAAGAAAGAAAGACACCCTGACAAATGAGCCCTGACTGGACTCAGGATGGGAAAACAGCTTACCAGTTTGTTGCTCGGCTTCCTCTATCTGCTTTTCAATCAGTTCTTTTTCCTTCTTCAACACCTTTGTTCGCAATAGGTCTCCTAAATGGTCAAGCATTTCCCGGCGGGCATTGTAACACTCGCGCTCTAACGCCGAGAGGGCATGGTAAGGAGTGTGAGCTATCTTGCGATCCTATGGATGAAACAAAAAGAGAAACTATATCGTTAATCATTTTAGATTACTACCAAGTTACTTTAAGTTACTTAAGCAGTTTTCTGATAATTAGCCAAAGTGCTATACTATAAAGAATTTCCTTCTGACAGATTACTGAGACACTATAGAAATTAGAATACCCCCAGGGGGTATTCTATGGATTTGGGGATCTGGCACTGGTATCCTGACTAACTTGGCCAATACAAAACCATTTTCAGCTGCTTTTTCCAACCCTGTTCTAGACAAGGCACCGAAAAAGCGGTAACTTGTCCCACCCTACCCTCTGGATATGAACGAGAAGCTCAAGTTCTTTACACCATGTACCAATTTTCCATTCTCCATCCAAATCTTCTGATTTCGATACCGCACCACAAACTGGGTCTTAATTCACCCACGGACACAGATCAGAACCAAAGTTTTTCGGATCAATTAAGGTTTTTGGGAAAACGCCTTCCTACCCCTCCCCTAAGCCAACATTTTGCCCTATGTGAGAAATAAGTGTTAATGTTGGCTAAGGGGAGGGGTAGGAGGACAGTTTCCCCATAAACCTAGATTGACCCAGCTTTTCTTTTAAAACCAACCCCCCTGTCCCAAAAAAGGAGAGAAAACAGCCTTTAGAAAATAAAACAAATGTGTACCTGATAAAATACATTGTAAGCATAATCCACTACAGTACCAGGAGGGTACTTGAGGTTCACCGTTATGGGAGATAAGATGTTAGCGCCCGCTCTCATCATTTTGTTAATCTGATAAGGAAATGAAATCAGCGGTCATTAATCCTTTCATTCTAAGACCAAGTTACGGCTAGCCCTCTACGCAGACGCTAGAAATAAATAAAACCTGTACAGCAGTACACACTATCATGTAGTAAACATTGTTTTTCAGTGGCGCAAAACAAAATTCGGGATTTAAAAGTAATTTTGACTCTGTAAGATAGTTCTAACTTGCGCGTTCAAGACGGAAATCCATGGTCTACGTGACCATTCAAATGAAACCTCTTCCACGGTTCTTTAACGTGCTGATGTTTATTTCCATTTTTTTACACAACGAAAATAAATTTAAGATTTTTTGGAAATGACGACTTTGGTTTCTAAGAGGAAAGGAGCAGCTAATGAGTTGTGAACTCACAAGTTTTATTCTTCCGGCCGGAGTTCTTCTTCTTTCAGCCATGAACGATGTAGCTGCACAAAGAGCAGACCCCACCCCCCTGGAAAGACGAAGACTGGGGTTAGCTCCATGCTCTAGTAGAGTGTCTACAGCCTGCAAGACAAACACATGATTAATGATGATAAGCAGCTACTACTTACAGCTCCATAGCCTATCAGGGTTCTATCTAGGATTTATCGTTTGGGGGAGAAGTCCCGAGTCGCTTAAGAGAAGGCCAGGAGCTTTCTAGGGGGGTCCGGGGGTATGCCACCTGGTAATTTTTTGAAATAAATATGCGCTGAGATGCAATCTGGTGCATTTTGAGATACAATTTTGAGAAATGTTACAGTGGTATTTTATTTTATTTTTTAGTCGAGATCATGTTCTTTGTCATATAGTGTCCTTAGACAGGGAATACTTACTTCATGTGCACTGATCTCGTCGCGTCTGCATGGTTTTTCTAATATAATTACTTATATACTGTAATGATAACAATATATTTGGGATGGGGGAGCTGGGCATGTTGTGGGAGGAGCTTCTACCCCTCAAATACCCTAAATAGAACCTTGGGGTATCCGCTGACCAGTGTCACCTGACTGTATTGCAGGCTCAAGTGTACAACTCTCGGTCTGAGATTTCCCTGAAATGACCTCACTCTCAGTTAATAAGTAGGATATCTTACCAGATCATTTCCACTATAGATTGCTAAAGAGAGAGCTGAGTGGCCTTCACAAAGCAAATCAGGATTCGCTCCATATTCCAGTAAAAGTCGCACTATGCCACATGAAACCTGTAAATATACAGATAAATCAGAGTGTAAATTAGTCACTGCCTAAGCCACTTTAATTGACAAAGCTTTTTTGGTAAGGAAGGCTAGATGTTGGATTCAAGAACTTCCATTATTAGAGAAAGCATGCCTCTTCTTATAGTCCTTGTTTGTGGCATGATGACTTGTTACCTCAACCTCCTATTTGAGTTTAACTAAGCTTTAAAAATTGATGATAATTTGCGGCAGGATTAGCTCAGTAGGTAGAGCACTTGGCTGCAGAGTGGGAGGTCGCGGGTTCGATTCACGGGGCCGGACCAATACTCAGGGTCTTAAAATAACTGAGGAATGAAGGTACTTCCTTTGCCATGCAAGTGGCTGGACCTTCGCGTGGAGTGGATGTCCACATAAAATGGCGGACC